AACGAGCAACCGCCACTTGTCAGCGAAGTTTAGTGCCAACTTTTGTGGATACAGGCTGTCACCTGGTCAGCGCAACAAATCCCCATGGCTGTTAATTTCGGGCTTCTAGGCTGGAGCCACTATTTCCTTGAAATAGCACCTCAATTATCGTAATCATATCTCAAAAAAGAAAAGTACTTCTGCTTGCTTAGAATAGATCTGTTAGGTAACGCCCTGCCTGCCCTTGCAACTACACTTCAATAGCAGCAAGTTTTTCTCTTCCAGCATTATTTTAATTTCGGAACTTCTTTGGTGACTATCAATATAGAGAAACACATTCTTTGGTCAAATAAGACCAAAGAAAAGCATGAGGCCAAAGCCTGTTGATGATGTGAAGAAATATTAGCACAATCTAAGTGCAAACTTAAAAATATCTTAAAGACATGGTACAACTGTTTGGACAGAGCACCCAACCACATCTTGTAAATGATGCTAGTTAACAGTGAGTCCAGGTAGGCCATAGCTTCAGTGTCATATGTGAAAGTTCATAAGTAAGATGTTGGTAACATAGGAACTTCGTGTATTTTCAGAGTTTAACTTTTACTGCGTGAAAACACTTAAGCCAATTAATCACTTACTTTGAAGATAGCAGCCTGCCACATCTCGCACTTCATGCTGGAGGAAAAGGAATCCTTATTACTAAGTTGCTGTGACTGTGATGAATGCTGGGAAGATACTGCCATTGCTACATTCTCCAGCTCATTGATGCCACAGCGGCGAACCCGGAACCTTGCCAGGTAAGGGGCTTTTGCTGCACTGTAAATGTACTGCCTTTATTGAAAAAGCATGAAACTCTATTTGGGTGCATTTATTTTTTTGTACTGTGCATATACATAAAGAGGGACAAATTACTTTTTCTGCTAATTTAGACAATACACACACAAAAACATTTTCACAGCCTGGATTTACTGGACTACACACAACAGGATTACCACACATTCAAAACAGAACACACAATTCTGGTTTCAGTACATCACACAAAGACATTTACAGAACAGAAACTGGGAGGGGGAGCTGACAATTGTGACCAACTATGGAAAATTTGCACTATTTTTGACTCTGTAAATGATGCATACAAAAATTATTATAATCATTTGGAGCATCAGGCTGCTGATGAACTAATTTTAAAATTCAAAAGGAGGGTTGTGATGTGAAACTGCGTATTCTTGAGTGCTTCATGGAGTACACATACAAAAGAGATATTCAGTGAGATGAAGCGGGGGGGGGGGTAAGGATATATATGCATCAAGCAGACAACGATACAAAAGGTACGTTCATTGAATTTTACTGTATTTAAAAATAATTATTTAGGATTGTGTGTGCGCTCCTACTAGCAGCGTGAGTGTGCCTCCAGTAGTGGTGTTTAAATGCCTCAGTGTACGAATATATGCACTTTTGGCCATAATGAAACTACCCATCACTGTACTGATGTGTGCATTTTGGATGTTAAAGGTTAACCATTATTGTCAGAATAAAGATCTGTGTAAAGATGACGCAAAAAAATGACTGCACCAACTAATAATGCAGTATCAGGGAGGTAATTTCAGATAAAAAATGTTCTCCTCTGAAGGAACATCCTCCTTATTCTCCCAATTTGAACCCGTGTGATGTCTTTCTATTCCAAGCTATAAAATCTTCAATGAAAGGAAAGCACCTTGGGTCACTAGAGGATGTCCAACAGTGTACATCACACCTGCTAGAAGTGACATCAGAAGATGCATTCAGAAATGTTTCCAAAAGTGGCAGAAAACAACAGCTCTGTGTACAGCTGCAAAAGGGGCCCATTCTGAAGGGGACAATAGGTTTCACTTACTTAACAATGTCATTTTCCAGGAACTTTGCAGTTGCACCTCATACAAGGCTAACAGATAATAAAAGACTACATAAGTAATCAATGTGGTCATTTATTCCTATATGAAGGGAAGTGTTGTCGTGGCTTTTCTCTTTCTGTGGCCCTGTGAATGAGGTCTTTTTACTCTTCTTTCCTCTTGTCCTGGAGCAGTTTCCTTTTTCAGGACTTAACAGTTCCCACTGACCCATCTGGGACCTGTCTCCTCTTCCCCATCCTTAGCTCTGATTGGCCATTTTTGACCTCCATGATTCATTTCTCTACCCAAAGCTCTTTTATGTAACCAGCCACTCTTCCAACTTGGTTCTTTTGTATCCTTAAGATGGACAGTGTGTTCCTCTAAACTGCTAATACCCACTTACATGACTATATATTGTCATACATAATCAAGATGACCAAAATATAACCCTTAAATGCTATTCCACAACTATAAAACAGTGTCAACAACTACCTGTAACAGACTTATAAGTGACAAGCACTGACCAACCTCTGCATTGGTGTGCCACTTTTGTAGTCAATATCTATAACCATAGCCTCAGGGTTGGAAGGCAGGTAGCAACCTTCCTGGACCTGAATCTTGCTTAGTGATTCCAGACAAGCTCGCTTCCGTTCAGCACCTATAAAACATAATGCGATATATTTCAAAATAAAATACATTGCCATTTCCATGTCATCAAAATAACCTGGTGTAGCAGTACTAACCTTTGGGGTAAGGTCTAATTTCGCCTGAAATATTGGTGATTTTACTAAAAAAATCAAACTCCCGTTCATAGAATTGCTTTGCTGGCCCTGACAAAGATGACACAATGGACTTTATCAACAGCTCCAAAGTGTCATACAGGGAAGCTGGAAGAAAAAAAAATTATTAAGTACAAATCTTCAGACATTTTGTTCTTATATTATTTTGACAGTGAGCTTCTTCAGCAGCACTTCCACGAAGTGAACTTAAGCACCATGTGTCAGCGCAACTTGCCAGGAGAAAATCCGACTCTTCAGCCTCAGTGGGCACTCTCAAGAAACCTCCCTATATTTAAGGGTCAGGACATTCCACAGTTAACACTGGCACTCTTTTCTACAAACAAGTTCTGTGGTATTCCAACGCTCAGTTCTAGCCTCAAGGTCAAAATATACATGCAAATGCAAATGTGTAACTTTTGACAAATTTACTAATATGCATTAATCGTTGGCTAGTGTACATACTGATGCAAATCAGCTGACAAAACACTATCTGTTACTGACCACATTAATATTTTTAACTGTGCTGTCACAATTTATAAAAGTTACACAATATTATAACCAGATGTGAAACAAAAGAGGTCACAATCTATCATGTACATTATGCTATCAAGAACTTTCAAAATGGAAAACTCACTATCCTTTTGCTGCATTTCTTCATCAATGTACATGTTAGTCTGCATATTCCAGATCAGCTGATGCCCAACAACTTGCGACTTCCGGGCAATATACTTGATGAATTCAATAACATATCCCATCTATGAATGAATATAAGAACACTGTTATTAAAATTAAAAAACACATTTATTTATGATTTATTTAATGATGATATTATAGGTTAAGAGAATGAAAATGTAGAATGAAGCAGCGGTGGTTTAATTTGAAGTAATGTCCTGGCACCTGCCTGGAAGGAATGAAGAAAACCACACACACAAAAACAAACTCAGTCAGGATGGTCAGTGTCTTTCCCAAAACGTGGGCTGGGCCCCCGCTAAATACAAGTCACAAGTGTTACCAGCCAACATGAATATGTAAAATATTAAATAAAAAACACAATATCAGATTGCAGTCTTCTGCTACATGACACAGTGTAGTTTGGTATAGTTACAATTGTCTCAGGTTCCTTCAAAATACTAATAACCATTTACCAACCTACACAGCGTCACATCCAAGATGACTGAATCTTAATATTCATTGCAGTGAAAATTTAAAGCTTGACCAGCATTATTTAAGGATAACATTACATGTAGTTATAACTAGAACTTTCACTTCTCTATAAACTATTATCACATGGCAAATCAGAATTCTTACTGTGTCATGTCTAACAGCTTGCACCAGCTGTGGTATGTAGAAGAGAACAGCATCAGCAGGATAGCTGCTGAGCACTCTGACTGCATATTGTGCTGAGATTGGATGTGGTGGGAACTGACGAGAGAAGTATGCCAATGCATGAATTGGAGATATGGGTGCCCACGTCAGCATGTACACCAACTGCAAGAGTATATAAATGTTACTTATTCTATATTTTATGTTTAAACACAATCAAGCACTATCTGGATTCTTGTACCATGGATATTAAGTTATATCTGATATTCAACTTATGAATTTATTTCCACCTTCCACTTCTGTCTTAGTTTTAGGTTTTCATGGAAATTTTCACAGCTATCATTAAAAATGTTCTTATTATCCTCTATTGACAAACCCTGATCACAGATTAGATCTTTCTAAAGGAAACACCTGAGGTCAGAAGCAGATCCAGTTTTCAAAAATGTCTGTGTTCTGTTGGGAATACTAGATGACAGGCTAAGTATAGAAACCCAGTAATACTCAGAATAACCTTGGCATAAAGGATTTGCATGCTGACAGGTATTAAAAATTTGTGTTACTTCAGTGCTATTATAACTATTTTAAAAAATTCAAATCTACTTCAAGTACTCTTTTCAAGAAGCATATCTTCAAATACTTAAATATTAGGCAACAATAATCTATATTAAAAACATATGAACTGAAAATTGGAAGTCATGAATTCAGTCAACAAAATTTCCCAGAAGTAAAGGTCTGTAAGAGTACTAGACTAAACAAACAAACAACAAACAAACTCCGTGATATTAGTCCACAAGTGAACTATACTGACCGAGCGACCGCTGCTTGTCAGCAAAGTTTAGTGCCAACTTTTGCAGATAGAGGGTGTCGCATGGTCAGCACGACGAATCCCCGCAGCCATTAATTTCGGTTTTCTAGGCCAGAGCAACTATTTACTTGAAATAATTCATGAGGCTGAGTGGCCCCCTTTCCAGACCCACTACTTCTCAGAAAAAATCTGTTAGTGTCGGGAATCAAACCTCTGGATCTGCAGACAGGAACGCTGACCACTACACCACAGAGGCGGTTACAAGCTGATAATTAATACAACAGAGATGCACCTACCTCATGAGCATCATTCAGCAATGTATCTGTAGTAACAAGATATGGAAGAGCCTGTGGCACATGAGAAACTACAATTGGATTCAACCGTACTTGTGTTGACACTTCTCGAATGATGCTGTCAGAATTTTTCAGCCTTAAACATTAAAATAAATTTCATGTTAATCAATTTCCATCATACTACAGAAGTAGATACTCTTATGGTATCATCATATTTGTACGTGTGCATGTATGTGCGAGGCCCCACTCCATACACACCAAAGTACACATTTGCATTACACTTAACTCAAGACAACATACCACTGGAAAGGAATGACATATTAATACTTTTTAATTTCCTACTACTGATAATGCTAACAAAGCAGTCAAGAAGGAAGAGAATGCAATCTTGATGAGTTTTAATTTCTTAACATTTTATAATACTAAGATAACAATCAAACAAACTACTGAGATGTAACACATGCAATACATAATATAGACAGAAATTTTCTGCAGTGACATTTTTCTGACTTCCAAACCAAAAAATTTACATTTTGATGTTCCTACTACTCTTAATTAAACCCATCTTTATAACTTATAATTCCACAGATGTAACTCAGACTGAAATCACACTGCTTCACATGCATCTGAGTTTGTAGACCAGTGGTTCCAGAACTCTTTTAGTTGGGGCCCCTCTTAACATGAACAGACATACCTGAGGCCCTCATACCTATGAAGATGACTTAAAAATGTGATTCAGCAATTTCAAAATATAATTATTAATGAATTTTAATGACATCTATGAGGTACTGTTTCTACTAAATTGTATGTTTGAAATTTAGTGAAACCCTTTGTAAACTAAATTAATTCAATGTCTTTGTTACTGGTCTTTTTGTGTGGGATCCTGTACGCTGCAACCCCCACTATGGAAAATACTGATCTAGAGCACAAGCATTGCATATGAGACTTTTTTATTAGAACAGCAATAGTCAACCAACTCCCTAACACATTTTTTAGTTAAAATTACCAAAGCTGTATATTTTCTTTTTACAATATTAGGTTCACATTTCAGTAATCTTCCAATTTCAAGAGTAAGAAAACATAATACTTAAGAAATTTACCTCATTGGCAAGAAAACAGCTAGTACTGGGCTTATATCCCATGCAAGACGAGCATTATCCCGCAATATTCGTTCTGTGACTGCTTTGGCTCGCCATGCAGCAATGTTGTCTTCCCCTGGAACTTGTAACTCAGTGCGTCCCAATGGATTGTGCCAAATTAACAAGAATTCTATTTCAACAGCCTAAAGAAAAAATGTCTTGTCAGAGTCTAATACTATCCAACACAGCACGAATAATGATCCCAGTAGATGGGGACATTACAGACACAGGTTTGATACAAGAAATAAATGTATGACATGATGTAAAGTTCACATTTGACCCATTGTAAATCTAGGACACATTTCTGTAAGACTTACAACTTGATGTTTATAAATGGTGTGGAGCAGTACACTAGTGAATACACCTGTAAGCATTTCACAACATTTTGAATTCAAATGCATTTCCACGCAATAGTTCACAACACTATTTGTACATATTTAATGGCAATTCAAAATTAATTTCTGCACATTTAAGAGTAGTTTCCATGTGTACTTCTACACATCCAACAACAGTTCACAAGGTGTAGCAACACAAGACACACCTTGCCATTTCCTAAGTTTGTGCTCACTTTCCTTTATTAAATTACTGCTGCCCTACATTCTTGACTTGTTCATAAAGAAAGTTGCAGAAATGTGCCTATTAGCCTTCCCATGTCTGTCTGCCAATGAGTCAGTTCATCTGTTCACATGTAAAAATTCAGGAACTACTAAACAGATTTTCATGAAATTTTATATTCAAAAGTTTTCCTAAAATCTACAAACATATTTCCAACTATTGTCAAAACTGAATGAACACTTTACACGGAGATCTACATGAATATCACCACATATCTCATGCATAACTCCAGCATAGCTCACTAAATATTTATTGGAGCACAAATTCTTTGAGCACATACCATAGAGAAAAATAAAGTACACATTTTATGCCCAATGCACTCTTTTAAAAATTGTGCAGTTTTCAAGACAAGCTAAAGATACATCACATGATAGCCCATACGATGTAAGTCACCCAAATCAACAATGTGGCATACAGGATTCCAACATACCCTAGAATAGTATACCTGGACAGACTAGCACCTTACCAGGGAACTGTGGAAATGATCAGCCCTAAGAAGGGAGCAGCTGGTGAACAGAAGCGAAATACGCAATTTATGAAGACTGAATGCCGGCTACCGTCAAAATAAGAGGAGGAAGCATTGAGATTAATACAGCAATGTGGTAAAATTCATGAGGGCAACTGTAGACCTTGCAGACACCCCTTCCCTCTCCGAGGAAATGGCAGGACACATGTAAGCTACTCAGAACAAGCAGCCTTAAGGAGGAAGCTATGTAGCATGATGCCTGAAGGCTAGAAGAGTGGATCCAGAGGGGACATCTGTTGCTGGGGATCAGCTCAGAAAACAAATTCCCACAGCAATATATATGTACAAAACAATACAGGAACTGTTCAAAGCAGCGTTTTCTATACAGTCTATGCCAGGGCTATATAATGAGGTTCAATGGGACCAAAAAATGAGGAAAAACATGGTCACTGGTACTGCAGGGACTGAAACTGAGAATGATTGTGCTGGCAAAGACCAGCAGCATATTACCAGACCAGACCAAGTGAGTGAGTCATTAGTCAGCACCCATAGTTAGTGGTTAGCTGTGAGCAGGGAAGTAGATGAATATCCACTGTTATAAGTGTGAGTACCTAGCAATAACTGGCAAGGATATAACAGGCCAAGAAGACTGAGTATATGCTGTAATGATTTTTACAATGTGCAGATTAGTGGCAGTGTTATAATTATTTGTAGTTACAAGTCATAAACCTTCACTAAATCCAATTACCAATCCAAACCCAGTGTATAGTCACTCACACATGATAAACAGTGTCAAAAGTAGTGACAGAAACATTATTTTAACAGATCACATAATATTCTTTTTCACTGGTTGAATATGATTTCCACTTGACCAGCCCAAATTAGAGGTTTGAGGTTATTTATGTAATCACTCCATTCATATGACTGAAGCCTTGAAAACCTAGCATACTATAATCATCTTTAAACCCATGTTACTCAATGCCTACCAGCAATTCAAGAATAAGGTTTCTCTTCTTGATGTAGTCCTTAACAAATATATCTGCATTGACAATACGCTTGCTCCGAGCTGATCGCTTAGACAGTGTGTTACTGCTTGATGACAAAGGAACTGTGTTAATCCATCCAGTAGCGGGACGGGCAAAGTCCCCTGAAGTGGAGCGAAGATCAGACTGCATGGAAGAGGAGGAGGAATGTGGTCCATACAGGTCAAAATCTGAAACAAGTGAAACATCCACTTCTATGTATTACACACATGCTGCACCTGAATTAGTGTGACTATCTGTGGTTTATTTAACCACACGCACATACAAGCATATCTTACATATATTTATTTGTTCCAGATATCCATATTTGGCGATACAGCCTTTAGATATAGAACAAGTCAAGTTTTATAATATATATAAGCCACCAATACTATACTTAACTACATAGACAAACTGTGTACACATCAGAACATACCACATACAACTATAAAAATGAGATACAATACAACAAACCCGTGCATAAAATTTCTATTACCAGAATAAGCACTGTATCCAAAGTTATAAAAATTATATGAAAACAAAATCGTTATCATTTCAAGACACACTCACACTTATTAAAAATTTAAAACAACATAAATTCCTCGACGGAGTAATAAGAGTGATTCAATAGAGAGGATCTAAAGTAATTTTGAAATAAATTAAAATTTACCCTTAATTTCATCTGATCTGGAACCTTACTGTACAAACTGATATCCGTATTTATCACACTTTTCTTAAAGAGGACTGTATTACAATGTTGTACATGTAATTTCTTTTGTGTATTATGATTATAAATATCCACATTTTTTACCACAGAATTTTTATATTTGTTAACAAAACGTATCACTTCTAGTATGCATAAAGAAGACAGTGTTAATATATTATACTCCTTAAATTTTGTCTGCATGACATATGATAACTGATACCACTAATTATCTGATGGGCCTTCTTTTGCAATTTAAAAATTGTATTACTTTCACTATCCCCACCCCATAATATAACGTAAAACCTCAGACATGAGTGAAAATTCGAACAATAAAAGTTTGTTATCACAGAATGGCCCACTGTTTCCTTTAATATTTTCATCATACATACTACTTCAGGTAGCTTTGTTCTTAATGATTGGACATGAAAGCCCCATGCCTCCTCAACTGCACTGGTTATGTAGCACCAAATGATAGGGTGATCTGTGAAAAATTATCTGGAAAGGATGTGGAAAGAGGAGACATTTTTATGGCTCTTCAGAAACTTAACATAGCTCCATTCCATTTAAAATTCAGACAACACTACACATGCTAATAACAACATTCTTTTTATAAAAATTGGAACCAACAAAATACAATTAAAAGATAATCCACTTATGAGTGTCATTATCTGCTTGAAGATGAGTAGGTAACTTTCAATACATTGCCACGGAAACCGTTACCACCTGAATATTTCTGATGTTCAAATATTATCATTTCAAAGCAGAGTGCAATCTTTTGGGTTAAGGTCTATGCAGTTTTGTTGGTAGCTTCTAAGGTTTCAGAGGAACATACTGCCTCCACCTTCACGGTCAAAGCGGACAGGACTATGGTGTGGATGGGACATACCTATGTGTGAGTCTACAAAGGGTGGCATGCATAAGGCCAAAGAGCACAAGAAGACTGATTAATCATAGCCACAGGAAGAGAGATAATGGGGCCATGTCTGAGCCAACGGGAGCAGCAAACATGAAGAGCCCTTCTGGAAGCCTAGAAATGCCTTGCCACAGACAGTTCATGTCACAAAACAAAAGACCACAAACTAATCTCTTACTGCCATGAAAGCCTCAGATCTCATACTGCCATTTCATCACAAAAACCAATGTCCTTCCAAAAAGTGAATGGTGAACTGAAAACTCAAGCCATGATTATACTGTGATGTATTGACCAACTGCTTGGCAATACCCGCAACGCACGTGGCCAACAATATAGGAGCAGTGTTTTCTGTGGTCAGCACATGAACTGTTGCTATGCAACACACATTAAACACTTTCTTGTATAGAGGGTGATGTCACACAACAATAGAGAGGCTGTGTTTTCTGCTGCAGTGCGTGCTGATTGTTTATAAAGGGGAACAGAAGAGGTGTCTTCTATACGTGTCCGCGCCATGCAGTGATGGTAATGGACCAATGAACATGCTGTCTTGACACGTGACATGTTTTCTACATGGTCCATGACGAGTATATATAACAGAAGTCTGCAGCTAACAGAACTGGATTAGAGAATTAGAATTAGAGAATTGGGTAGAGCTCTGGCGGGTCAGGAGTTCAATATGATTGAAAAAGAAATGGCTAGAAGACTTCACAGTGGTTTAAAGTGAGAGTTCCTGTGATATATCGGTTGCCAAAAAATGGATTGTGTGTTCTAGTGATTTGAAGTAGGTAGATTAGTGGTAGCGCTATGAATGATTGTGAATAAGAGAGAATGTACAAGGTGTCCATAAATTCAATCATCCAATCCAGAACCCATTATTATTCGTCACACAATCCTGGAGACACAATATGTTATTTAAAAAAAAAAAAAGTAACAGCACAATGCATGGCAAAACTTACCTCCAACAACACTGGCTTTCAGGTATTTCTTATCAGAATGCATGGTCTGCCAGAAGCGAACAAGAACCAAGATATCTTCCCGCAATTCTGCCCCACGTTGTGTAGGACACCTTGGTGGACAGCAAAAGTAGTCCAAACAGTTGCAATAGATTCGTTCCCGAAGAACATTCTTGCTTAGAGAGCGAGGCAAAACATCTCCTTGAAGTAAGGATAAGCCACAAGCCAGCAACCTTCAGAACAACATGGGAAATGCTGTACTATCATAATATTATGCATAAAATTTCAAATGGTGCTTTTTGAAGTTTATTAAGCTTACTCGCTGCAGGTTTATAAGTGACATTTTATCAGAACACAAAACGTACTAGATAAAACCAGCAAAATTCACATTTCAATAAGAAAATGTAAGGTACAGTTAAAGCTGTTCCTGTGCTTAAGCAATTAAGCACTACACCATGAAGATGTATGGGGGAGTGCATGAAGAGACCCATGTTTTCTTGACCTTGGCACTAGTTGGAGGTCAGTGGCCAAGTTCACACCAAGGCCGCTTTACCCCTGGGAAAGAGCCCCTGGTACACATTGGATAGGAGGCTGGGTGGACCCCAGAGCCAATCTGGATGGTATGGAAAAGTGAAAATTCTTGCCACCACAGGGACTCAAACTCTGACCCCTTGGTCGTCCAGCCTGTAGCCAGTTGCTATACCAATTGCACTATCATGGTTCTTAACATAATTGTGTTTTCCACATTTTTTAAGACTTGCTGACATATATATAGTGTTCGGTTGTTTTCGATTGACTTGTCCAATTGTGCCTATGTAACAGTTATAGATGTTAAATAAATTTTCAATAAATTATTAAATTATCAATTATGTACAATACCAAATTTCAACAAAATCTGTGAAATGATTTATAGAAACATAGGAAAAGCGCATTTATAGTCTTAAATAAAGTAGACATTGTGATCAGTCAATATGACTAAAAGTCTGAATGGCTGGCTAACATTATGCAAAGACTTCTCATATGAAATTTCTCCAAAACTTGAGCAACAGTTTATGATATACACGAAAGGGTTCATTAGTGACCTCACAAAAATTCCCATACCACATTTCACCAAAATTTAATTAACGGATTATGACATATATGAAAAAATTCGTCTACAAACTTATGTAAAGTAGATTTTGTCATGCGTGCATCAACATAGTCGAAAATCAGAATCACCTGAAAATTCTTAGTAAAAGATGTCAAGTTCTAAATAACTCTGTAAAATGGTTTATGTGCTGACACTAGGTCACTGATAGGTGGACATACATGGTCTCCACAAAGAAGAAGAGCACAAATAGCAAACTCTAATCCATAATCTACGCAAAACAGAATCTAACCTGAACCTAACACCAACAGCAGCCACATGCCGATTCTGATGTCCCTCTCTGGTACCAACAATCATGGGCAATGACCGATGGAGCAAAGTTGCCAACATTTCCACTTTTTCTTGGCTGCAGTATTTGGCTGTCTCTACCAGTTCTGAAATGAACTGAAAATAGCAACACTGTGAGTTGAGGAAACTGCATCACAAAAAGATGCTACTGACTTTATAAATAAAAAAGTTTCAACTACAAATATTTGGTACCAATTACATACTTTAGGGCCCAATAGTTAGTGTACTGACTCAGGAATATCAGGTTTCAATATAGACACTTATTTATGCTGGCCTATGCCGGAGTTAGAAGAGAATTCACGATAAATTCTATATATATACACACACACACGGGGCAGAGTCATTAAGTTCGTGGACTGTAGTTTTATTGCATCATATAACAAGGTATTCACATACACTTATGCAGATCCACATCGGCCCTCAAAATAGTTGCCATTGGCTGCTATGCAAGTCTTCCAACGTTGATATAGCTGTCGAAAACATTGCTGAAACATATTGGTAGTAAATTCCGGTATGATGCTTTGTGGCCATTCCACGAACTTATTGACTGCGGTAGTATATCTTGTAACAAAATCATCAGACTTAGTTGGACACTAATGAGGATGGTTCCATAAACAAGAAATCCACAAATTCATAGCACTTAGTCTTAACTACAAGATAACAGAATATTATTATACAATGACTTTCGTTTGATGATCTAATGGATGCCAACTATATTCTGAACTCCTGACCCAATCATTACAGTCCATTTTCTCTGTAGAACTTTATGTAATATGGATAACAATGTGAATTGAATGAAACAGTTTTCTTCATCACATCAGTGTACATTCTAATGATTACAGACATATGCTTCACTGTGACAATTTATGGCCCTCATAGCTGTGCCAAGACATACATGATACTCCATAAGTTGTGCTGGTTCATAGTTGCCAAATTAAACTACATTCAAACAAAAGAACTATCTCTCTCATGCCTCACATCCCTATGACAGAACACATCTTCACAATGATGGTACAGTCAGGGCAAAACTGTGAAACCTAAACTGAAAAAATCTACATATATTACATTACCTGCACCCAAATGTCATGAGGTTTCACAAATGGAGGTCTTGGTTCTAATTTGCAACCTTCATATGCAGCCAAAGGACTCACTTCTACCTCTTCATCTGAGAAGAGGCCTAATTTTTTATCGATAGAACACTGAAATAATATGAAGCAACAGTTTAATTACCAAACAGATCATGGGAAAGCTCATGAGTGCATAAAATGGAGACAGACTAAAATGTGGATGACAACTTTTCTTTCCTACAATTGCCATAAATATGTCAATTTAGATGAGCCATTTTAGCCCATCCCAGACTAAACTGAGATACAGTTCTTTAGTGGTAAATTTCAGTCATCCTTAGTTCTTTAATTTTCATTTCTTTTTTACTGGACACTGTTGTTACTATATACTCAATTAGGAATATTATATGGTTTCCTTATTCTGTTAAAACAAGTAACACATCTAGATTATTTTTCCGTGGAAATTGGAGTGATAATCGTAACTTAGGGACAAGCTTACTCATATTCAAGAGAATCATACAATCAGTTAAGATGGTAATACATGATACTATTGTTCTGACTGTGCATGGTGCAACTGGGGACAAAAACAATGACACAAAGCACAGCTTTTATGAGAAACTGGAGCATATTCTTAACCAATTCCATACATTCCACACACAAATTTTGTTAGAAGGATTTAATGTTAAAGAAGGGCAAAATTATGTCTTCTGATAACTGAAAACAAGAACTTGTTTCTCTTGCTGATTCTTAGGAATTTTAATACTATTTGCAGGTTGTCAGCAAATCCTGATCCACAAAACGTTCTCTTAGGAAATTTCATCACGTACATTTATATGTCATTCTAAATATCTATGCAGAGCATGGGCAAGTATCAAGCCCAGTTAAAAGCAAAACTCACAATAATGTAACTATTCCACATACATTATTCTTGTTACATTCATTAAAGTACAACATTAAGTTACCTTAAATGCTTGTACATATATAGTGCCAAGTTCCACTCAGAATGAGTTTGCAAATACAACTTACCTCTTTGTGGAGTACTAATGTGGGAGGATCATCCCCCCACCATTGGCAATCACTGCCTTGTTACCTTCTAGCCTATCATCCATGTCCCAGAATTGTGACATGATGAACATAATATGCCCACTTTTCTGTAGTGGTGCATCCTACTCATGCTTGTAGGAAGTTTTACTGCCAGGTACCTTGCAGGTTTTAGCCTGTATTTCCATATACCTTTTATCTGGACTCATTCTTATCATAAATTATTCTGTCTATGGAAACTACCTGAGCACCTCCACCTTCAACAGCTATTTGTTCTCCAAGCAAATATCTTCCAGTCTGATCCAGTCTAAAATGTTTTGTTCCAAGATGTAGACAACTTTTCTGTCTTCGCTGTGTAATACAGTGCATTGTCCATTAGAGTTCCCCAGCGAGAGTCAAGATTAAATATTATTTTCTAGAACCACTCATAAAACATCTCCCTTGTCATTTATTCATGATAATGATTTTATGAATGAGATTCAAATACCTATATGACCACAATCCAAGAACCAATTTTCTTTGCCAGTAAGCACTATAAGTAGCCACTTTCCTTTCCCAGAGAGACTTTTCAGTCCTTTTGAAAGCTCCTTCAATATAGTATCCTTAGCACAACTTGCCAACTGAATGATCATACCAAATCATCTGTTGGTAAGGCCTGCATAAACCAAGGTTCCACCTACATAATAGGTGGTTTTGCCTTTTGCGTGACATAGCTTAATAACGCAAAAATATCTGTGATACCATATGATACTGTTTACTTTTTGTATGTCAGATTTGAAGTCCATATTCTTTAAAATTCTCTAAGTAGCTGTCAGCTTGAAATTACAAAGTTCCATGTCATCATTCCTGTTGCCAGAATTGTTGAAGTTTGAAAAAATATAATTTTTCTTCTACTTGAAGTACTGAGGAATAATATTTTATTGTTTTCCTTTGGGATGTGGGGCTGTGGTTGAACCTTACCAGCGGATTTAAACTGCTTTACTGTCTTGAACATGTTACTTGTTGCCATTCACATAGAAGAGGCCATTCTTCTGCTATATATAACACTGCAGTATGACAACTTTCCCAAATGAAGTCTTATATACATTTATTACTCATTTTTTCACCCATATGGGACCTTTACCTCATGTGTTTTTCTTCACTGAAGACAGCCTGGAATACTCCACTTGAAAATTTTCAGCCATTTTGAAGTAACAAAGAACTTCACAGGACCACTGACCAGAACTAGAAGGTTCTTTTCCTGCATTAATATGTTAACATTATCAAACAACAGGCATTTATTATTTACTTAGTATGAAGCAAATACAATACTGCCTGTAACAATACTATAGTCCTGTCTTTTCCACTACAAACATCTAACACAGCACTTCATCTTTTCTTTTGTTACTAAATGTAACGAAGTGAAAAGGTAACACACTGAGTGAACATAAGCAATCCTTACCTGCCATGCAGAAAACATCTCTTGCAGGAACCGCAGTTCCAGATCAGGTCTTGCAGTGACCAACCACTGCCAGCATTCAACAGCTGTTGTCATGGCAGGTTCCGTGAAAAGTTCAACCTGTGACCATGCCACTACGTGCAGCAAACTACGATACACACCTACATAAGGAAATTTTGTAATCAGCTATATTTATTTACAGCCTGATGCAGTGTAATATACAATTTACTGGCCACAACCGGTATAACACTGTTCTTGTCAGAATGGAATTCTGTGCCTACAGAAATTAATAGTTAGGGTAGTAACATACAGAATGGAGATAAGACATGTAATAGATGCAGACTGTTAACACCGTGTGGACCGGCAATTTAAATATTTAAATCACCCTGGGGGCCAGCATTTTTAAACCTACTACCCTAACTTGCGCACTGTTCACTTTAAAAATTAATATAAATCTCCTAATTAATTTTACAAGCTAAAATTTTTGGAGAACACTTACCAATGCTCCTAGAAGTGCTTGAGAATGTGATATTTCTGGAAATATTCCCCTTTGTGAAGTGGCATTACACAGAACTTGCAAATGTAGACAGTCATACTCCTTTATTTGTGAACTGTGCAAACACAGCATTGCCTAGAAGGATGCTTCCCCTTGGAATGTTCACTCTTCACACTTTTCACGAGGGTATGTTTCCACATATCACCTGAGAGTCNACATTTTTGTAAACCAAAAATGAATTGAAAATTGCACAATTTATAAGCCATAAGGCAACTTTCTTTGTCCACTTTACTGTTTTCCTAGGAAGAGAATAATAGGCCAAGTATTGATCGGTTCTATCAACTCCCTTCATGAACATATTATACTCAGAAATACAAAGAGGCTTCTTTACTTGTCCATGTCTCCTTTGAACATCAACCATGCTCGAATTGTGAATTGTGGAAATCATATTCACAACACGAGTATCCCTATCTTAAAAAAAAAAAGTTACTTCACACACTTGCGTTGGGTCTGACGGAATTTGTTTCACCCCCGGATTTCCAGTAAACTGTCCCAAAGTAGGCGTTTTGTCTACTTTTCCCCATGTGGCTCCATGTGGCTGTCCCCGCAATGTTACTACTGTCTCTTTTACTGTCTGTGGCCACAATTCTTTGTTAAGGCACATTATATAGCTCATCGAGAACAAGTCAGATATTTCTTGTTCTCCGAGAGATCGCTTGGTCTTCAACTTCACTAACACTTCACTAACAGAAGATAAAAAGCTATGAACACTGTGCCTGTATCTCATTGTTTCATACTCGAACCTCAAACCATATAGAGATGACTGATGATGTAAGCCACCTGATATTCTAAGGCTAAAGTCCTTAAAAAGTTATGATGCCAGATGGTCTGGAATATGGTTACCATCTAACAGACTGTGACAACCTTGGATATCATGCAGTGATTTTCTACAAGACAGCAAGTCTACACAATACTTATAGATTTGACTCCCTCCATATCAAAACACCTAACCTACTCACACCCTAATCCTGCCCACTGAAATGCACAGAGTAGAGCATGTTCACCTGTTATTTTTAAATAAAGTCAGCATCTACCATACGACATGGCATCACATCCTAGAAAACCACAGTTTTCATGACTGATGATGCTTTGGTTATTAATGTAATGTATATGACTGTACTGGAATGAAGTTACCAACTGTTACCTATTTTTGGTCACTTACAAAATTATATAAAATTACCGGGCATTTCCAAGATACTTCTAAGACTGTAAGAATTTTTACAGTATTATTCCTAAGGGTCACAGAATACCTTAACCTGAACACCAACTGTGGCAGAGTTCAGCACAGCAGATATGTTTCTTATTATGATGATACAGGTAGTTTGAAAACTATTAAGTACCTGGTGTATTTATCAACATGGCAGTTGCCCTCCATAAAGCAGCTCGGTGGGCTTTATTGTCCTCATTGTGACAAGCCTTCCTCACAGCCTGGATCAGTGTCCCTATCAGACTGCCTTTCTCCCCCTCACTCTTCCGCTCTAGTTCAATTAGCATGCCATTTACTTCACCGGCATACCAACTGCGCAGAGAAAGGGATGAAACAAAACGAGAAGAGTCGCTCTTCACACAGCGAGGTCGCTTGTCCAAAGTGTTAATCTGAAGACATAACAGTCCCTGGAGTTAAATATTTATCATATGAAAACAAAAAGGGATATCTCATCCTTCTTTAAGATTAGTCTTTTCAAATGCAAAATGGATTGCTTCTGACTTCATAATACTTATCTACAAAATGATTGTATATTAGACTCCTTTACAAATGTCTGTGACAAGAGATCAAAGCAGGAAGATGAGGTGTCTAACAAACATGACATTCACATATGACATTTCTTATACTTTGTCCTACAACTTTCTTCTTCAACATTTTTAGATGTGAATTCTGAATGAGCTAAAGGAAAACTTCAAGCATAAACATCACTAAAAAGTGAAGTACATTTGGAGAGTTCTCTTAGAGACCATAATTTTTCTACATTATAAGCATAAAAATGCTACAGCCAGAAAATAAAATTTTCTATCATAAAAAGCTGGCCTCACACATTTCAACTAGCAGGTAAGAGAAGAGCTCAAGGCAAATATTTTTTAGGAGAATATGAATAACAGACAGACACTGACCATCATCTGTCCATGTTGCGTTACATCTGTTGAAACTTAAATCTTACCATGAAATGAAAGCAATACAAGCATTCCCTGAATCTTCTGCCATGCAACTACGGAAGCTTCAAACCTAAATTCACAGTGAAATCCATGGCAGAAACAGAGATAACTCAGACTCAATGACTCAGATATTTGATAAATAAACCCCTGTATGTGAGTACATACTCAAGACATACACAAGTATTCTAGCATGAACATCACAAAACTGTGAATCTCTATCTTTTGCATCCTGTATCCCAACAATTATTTTGCCTGAAGAAAATGTACTCACACCACAGTAAAAACAAAGCTCCTCTTTTAACATGAACTGTACTTCCAGAATTATGTATATTTACATATTAAAAGTGCATTAATCACTTACAGATGTCTTTATGTTTGAGACCTCACATCCCAACCTGGATACAATCAAGTCCCATTCCCTAAAGAATTCTGCCATAAAACAAAAATGTTAAATACAGGAAGAAAATATATGAACTGTGAAAACATTACAAAAACACCCAAGTTGCTGACAAATAACTGTTTCAGTTTATAATACTGTAATAACCAGTCATTTAACAGAGTTAAACCAAAATTTAATTGTTTTTTTCTTTAACTTTGCAATAAAAATATATAAAAGTGTAACTAAATCATTCTGTTCACTGGAGAGTTCCTGTTTTGAGGCTGAGGATGGATTATGAATATACTCTATCACATTTCCAGAACCACCTTTATCCTCTCTCACTGGTGTTTCATTCACACATTACTGCAGTGCTTCCACTTTCATGATACTAACTTACAGTCACCATGCTATCCCACAGGCACTATAACAGGGCAATGAATATGATGGGAAACATGAAGATGTTCATTCCTTAAGAGTACCTTAAAGATGGACAGACGATACACATAAGTAAACAGGATGAAGAATGAACAGTGAAGAGACAATAAAATTAAAATTAGGATATTTATCTGTGGGAAATAAGACACTTTTTACATAGGCCCTCCAGTTCTGGGTCTAGAAAAACAAACATATTATATGGAAAAAATATTATATCCAAGTTTCACTACATCCTCACAAAGAAAAACATGCATAGTTCCGGACTTCTGCAAAAAATTATTGTTGCAAAATAATTACAAAATTAAATACATACTACTTTCACATTTCTGGTAAAGTTTCATTTTCCTTTGGCCTATCTCTCGACAAACTGGGACACTACACAATCACCCTATGATTCAAAGTCTTCGAGTCATCCATGTCCTTCATAACTAATATACTACCTGCCTCCTGCTCTTAACACTACCTGGACCTTATACATTCATAAATGAAGTAAAATTTTGATACAGTAACATTCAGAATACATACGATGGGGTACCCAAAAGAAACCAAACTAATTTTTTTGTGGGCAGAGCTTTTGTAGTACCGCGTTTTGTCGCTATGAGCGCATAGAGCTAACATTCCTGAGTCGATAAGCCGACTACCATTGCTTCAGAAGGTCCGGACTAGTTTCGGCAGAGTTTATAGTGACAACTGTTTTGTGTGATCATCATTTTTGCAATGGCCCGAACACATGAAAATGTTGAAAAAATTCGTGAAATCATCAAGGAAGATCGACGACGGACCATTGAAGAAATTGTGGAGCTGTCGGGAGTGACTTGGAGCTCAGTTCAGCGAATTTTGACAGAAGATTTGGGAATGAAAAGGGTGGCTGCGAAATTCGTGCCACGACTGCTGACTGCTGAACAAAAACAAGGTCGCATGGAAGCATGCTGTGCTTTGAAAGAAGAGTCCCAAAATGATCAAAACTTTTTTTCAGCGTTTTGCTGATGTTGCTGAGGTGAAGGAAAAAAACGACAGAGGCGCTGTCAAGCATCTCAAAAGACGAATTTAGACAATGTTTTGAAAAATGGAATAAAAGACTAGACAAGTGTATTAGTGTAAGTGGAGAGTACTTTGAAGGGGATTGAAGGTTTGTGCTTAAAATTTGAATAAATAAGTTAAAAAAAAATAAGTTCGGTTTCTTTTGAGTACCCCCTCGTACATTAGTGGATTTTATTATACAGTAACTTGAAAGGACAACTGAAAATTCAATTCAAAGTCTCTTAATTTGTAACATCCAATATACTGCACCATCCAGCCACTGACTTTTAGTACATGTGTAGATTTAGTCTCTTGGAGAATATTTGTACTTTCATAACTACAGCCCTCGCCCTCAAACTTTTGCTTCTTTCCTCCATCCTTTTTACACCTTCAGTTAATACCCTCCTTTCTTTGGCCTTTCTTTCCACTTTTTATCCATTCTAATCATCATTTCTCTCTCCCTTCCTTCTTTCTTCTCCTTTACATTAAAATAACTAAGTAAATATGGTTTAAAGGTTTCCATAACCACAGAAGTGAAAATATGTACGTGGGGCAATCCAAAAGCTTCCGAAATTTGAATTTTGGGCGCGAATGTTAATGAGTACATTGAAATACCACTAGGTGTCTCCTCACACATCCTTCTTGAATCAGTGTGGCAAGCGGCGTCGAGTTGAGTGGTTGGGTTTATTGTTGGTGAACGTATTTCCATTGTTGTGTTTCCGTGAATTTGCAGTTTTGCGATGGCTGACCTGAGAGAGCAGCATGTCTGTATAAAGTTTTGTTTTAAACTTGGGAAAACCGCTGCAGAAACGCACCAAATGTTGAAGCAAGCTTTTGGTGACAACAGTTTAGGCCAGACATAAACTTACGACTGGTATAAGCGTTTTAAAATTGGCCAAACATCGACTGATGATGGCGATCGTTCGGGACAGCCGTCACCGTGCAAAACACCAGAAAATGTGGTGAAAGTTATGGATCTGATTCTGCAAGACTGTAGACTGACCATCCAAGACCTCTGTAACACCTTGGGACTAAGTTATGTACATGTCAACGAATTTTGTCAGAGGAACTGAACATGAGGAGGATTGTGGCGAAGTTTGTGCCACGACTGCTGCAAAATGAACAGAAGCAGCATCGCTTGGAAGTCTGCAGGGAACTTCAGCAACAGCTTCAAGAGGATCCAAACTTTCTTTCGAAGGTTGTCACTGGTGACGAAAGTTGGGTTTATGGCTACGTCCCTGAAAGCAAGCAGCAATCGTCGCAATGGAAGAGCCCTTCTTCACCTCGGCCAAAAAAAGCTTGACAAGTCAAGAGCAACATTAAGTCCATGTTGATCTGTTTTTTTGATATTGACGGGATTGTTCATAAGGAGTTCGTCCCTCCTGGTCAGACAGTCAATAAAGAGTTCTATCGCGATGTTCTAAGGCGTTTGAGGGAGGACTTGAGGAGAAAACGTCCAGAAAAGTGGCGCACGAACAACTGGGTACTCCACCATGACAGCGCACGACCGCATACGGCTTACATTGTGCAGGAATTTTTGGCTAAAAACAAGATGGCAGTTGTTCCCCACCCACCGTACTTGTCAGACTTAGCTCCATGCAACTTCTTTCTCTTTCCCAAGATGAAAATCTAGTTGAAGGGGCGAAGATTTGATACAGTTGAGGAAATTCAAGCGGAAATGCAGACGGTACTAAACACCCTAACAAAGAAAGACTTCCAGGATGCATCTGAAAACTTGCAGAAACACTGGGATTGGTGTATGCGCTCCCAAGGAGACTACTTTGAAGGTGATGGTGCAGAATAAGATCTAGGTAAGATGTAATAGTTTTTATTAATATATTTCGGGAACTTTTGGATTGCACCACATANAAAGATGCAGTGCGGCTGTTAAAGAGTAACCACCTGCCAATGAGAGTAACTACATAATCTTTGAGTGCAACATACAGCAGCACAACATTTTTCTTCAGTAGATTCTAAAGGGTTCTGACAATGGTGTTTAACACTCAGAATTTTTGGACTTTCTCCATCATCCAGAATTATAAAAACTAGAGAACACAACATTTCAGAAACTGGATCTGCTTCCATCCTCTGGGGAGGTGGGAGACACCTACTCTATTGGGTCCCTTAGAGAGAGCTAACTTCAATCAGTGGTATAAACTCATGCACCCCCCCACCCAAGTCCTTGTTATAAAGAACTCATGAAGTAGAGATTTAATTAAACTTACACTGAGTGGTGCAGATTGGAAATTTAATCCAGTATACTGCAGCATGCTCTCAATTGCTAATGCTAAGCCTGAGTGATGCCACATTCCAGAACTTGGAATCTGGTTAAGGTAGTCTTGAAGATGAGATCGAGTTGCATGAGGTGACCATTTCATAGCCTCTTGGACAATGCCCTGACATCGTGCAGCAAAATCCCTCACAATACTCTATAAAATAATGTTGAACAAACAAAAAATCATAAACACATTATTACGATCATATTTACACATGTGCATCTAATACAATGAATTGATATGGGACAAAACCTAACTCTGCATTTTGGAAATTTCTTGGCAATTATAATTTTAATGTGTGTTGGTTTATATTTTCACATATACATATGAAGAAAAACGAAAGGTTACCATAACAATCTGCAAAAGAAACATAGTTCCATAAAATTATGGGATTAGAATATCTTATTACAAGTGACATCACATCCTTCATAAAGTATAAATAACAAGTCCTTATATGCCTAGTAACATGTAAACTATATTATAGTGAAAAAAAAAGAACTAGAAAATAAAACACAAGTAGTCCATAATAAAAACAAAGATATATTCATGGAATCTGACCTATAAAAGAAAACTTTGGCCACCCTGACTTTATTCTCTTAAGATCTTTTAAAGTGACATATTTTGTAGACATGGAGTGATATTCAAATAAGCAAAACAGTAAAATATCTGGAAAAGGTTGAGTCAAACTCATGAGGTAGCTCTTTAGTATATATTACACTGTCCCCATGAGTCAGACTCATTATTAGTATGCAACAGTTCAACAATATACTAAACAGATACTGTGGGTGGCTAGCAGAAGGGATATTACCCAATTACGCACCATTGTAGTACAACACACATAAGTAGAAAGACTACAGAACACGAACTCCACACAGCAGAAATCTCCCTGAGAACTTAATAAGACAAGAAAATCTCCACCATTACTTGTGTCCCCGGTCCCTATCTTGAACCAGATGAATTCAGTCCACATTTCATATCCTAACTCCTTCTTTACATTACCTTCCCCTCTGCACACAATTGTAAAGAGGTCTTTTTCTTTCAGAATTTCTGAGATTACTCATTTTAACTCAGAATATGTTTCTTCTGTAAAACAGCGAAGACTGTGAGGGGAGGTTCTACATGTTTTTTCCTTACCTCTCTGGCTTCCAATGTATCCATAAGAGGAAGACTATATTGAGTACTTGGCACTCTCAAAGTTGGAGTTTCTTCATTAGGATCCAGATTAAGGGAGTATGACAGAACTTGAAGAATATCCAGCATGCTCCAGAGAACATGACAGTTCCACAGCAGATGGGGAAATCTATGAAGTTTCAATTTTTTATTATACCAATAAAAACAGCAATCATACAGTATGTGACTGAAAAACATAAAATTCAAATTAAATTTTATGCTCTAATAACTGTAAATACTGTCACAATTCAGGGTGACTACAGACAGGGTATGGATTTGATCTTGGATTTATTGACATTAATACACAACTTGTAATTACATTTTACAGATCACTGTCGCACACAGACTAGTCTCCTCAGTCTATCAAAGTCTCCACTAGCCACCGTCTGGTATGAGCTTCAAATGGTGGATGTTCCCTTTACTCTGGGTTCCCAAACTATCCTCATACCTCAGCTATCAGCTTCTAACAGCAATGGTTCACAACAACTCAATTGCAGTTCTCTGACTAACTTCCAGACTGGAGGTCATCTCACATCAACCTTCTAGTCTTCTCTTCACAGACTCACTAACACTTCTCTCAATATTACTACTGACTAACTCCCAGGCTGGCAGCCATTTCACATCAATCCCTCCTAGTCTTCTCTTCACAGAATGACTTTCAACTGACCACTCATAATCGAACTGCTTCACTTCACTCAGCCAGCCTGGGATCCTTGCTACATAGCCTCAGGGCAGACCCAACAAAAAAATACTAACTCCAACAATCCTTCTATTGTTGCCATGGGTGGTTGCCTACCGACAGACTGGATAGTTTCTGCAGGAACATGCTTACTGACCATTACCAAGCGATGCATATTCCTTCCTGTGATCATTGCATAGCAATGTTACTAAATACTACAAGATGTTCTTAAACCAATTTATCTGAAATTAATTCAAAATTTTATTATTTTGATTCTTATGGTATTTAATAATGTATCAGCTGAGTAAGTCAAACAGTGATGAATCAGATTAAGAATAATCATAAAATAATAAAAAAGTAATAATTAGGAAGGAGGGGGGCCATGGAATATTTCAGTATACTAATCTGGCATTTCCTATGGGTGATGAAAACCACAAAAATATGCTCACTTTGGATTCCTAGTGAGATGATAGACATTTGACTCAGGTATCTCATTCCCAATTATGTCCAACCTACACACTCACTATTATACGTTACTTTATTATTTTCATCCCCACATTGATCAATATTCTATCAATTTTTGTGCTCTGCAAGTCAGTTCAGTTATGTCTTCATACCCAAATTTTTTAAGTAAACAAAGGATACAATCCTGCAAAAATTATAATAACAAAATTAAGAGGAATTCGGACTGATGACACCTCTGGAAGAATACAGACAAGGAAACTGAACACAAGATTTTAACATACGGTACTTAACTGTGGGCCAATTAAATATAAACAGACATATGACTTGAGATTTTCACTCTGGTGGTTCATATTGTGACCTTTTGAGTTACAGTGCTATGTAGTTTGGTACATAATCTCAACATTTCACAGTAACATACTCCATCCAAAATGCTGACACCCATCTACCAGACTGTAAAAGGTAAAAAAATGTTTTTCCTACAAATTAAGCACTGCACCATGAAGATATATGGGGAGTGGATGTATAGATCCATTTACTCCTGACCTCAGGACTATTGGAGTTAGGTGCTGAATCAAAATACAGTAAACCCTCATCCAATGCATGGAGTATACTCCTCAGAAGTTGCTGCTCAGACAATCTGCACCGGATGAATTCTGTACTGTATGCAACTAATGGGGATATGGGAACACAGCCATGGAAAGTCAGAGTATATAAAGAATAAAATTACAAATGATATTATTCATGAACAAACCTGGAATATACTAAAGTATCATCAGAAAGTTATGCATTAAAGTAAAATATTAATGAAAGAACTTTAAAATAAAATTGGAATGGAATGTTAGGTATAATATAAAAATACTAACACAGAGTTTGGGATCAAACAAACTTTGAATGCTACAGTGGTGTATTTGGCAGACTGCATTTAATAATTTTTTTGGCAAAACAGCAAAAAATTGTTCACATTTACTTTCACACATATAATCAAATCCACACTGGACAAATCTGTGCTCGAGGGAGGGTTGCTGTATAGTGTGCTCGGCAGACTGTGTATAATCAAATTTTCCACATTTTGCAACTAATTGGCTCCATTTATTTTGACATGTATAACCAAATCCACATTGTACAAATCTGCACTGGAGGAGCATTTACTGTGCTTAACTACAGAAAATGTAAATTAGGTAACATAAGCATTCCTTTGCATGTCTCAGAAATGTATACTGTTTTATCATACCTATCCACTAGGCCTGATAAATATTTGTCAGCCACTCGTCGAATCTGCTTGTGAATGTGATTAAAGTTGACTAACAGAAACTGAGCATGATCCTCAAGTTCTCTCTCACGAACTTCGTCTTTAGGTTTGTTTGACATTACTTCTATGAACTGAGCAAACACTCTGTCACCAACACTGAAATACAAAGAAAATGAACACTTCTCTAAAAACACTGTTATACTTAACATTCATATGTAGAATATTAATAGAAAGACCTTGTAAAATGCAGTAACTATATGCAGAAATAAATTATGGTGCAACATGTTTGAAAACGTTAGCACAGTGTAATAATTTTGGTGCATTTATGCCCTTTAATTAATGACCTTGAAAAAATGTATATTTATGAAAAAGTGTACTGAGCATAAAATGTGCGTCTCATTTATCTCTACAATGGTTGCTCAAGTCTCTTCTTGCTTCCATAAACATTTGGGACGTTATGCCTGAGATACATGTCAAAAAGGATATAAGTGTTCATGTAATAATGTGTGATTTGAAATAGAAAGGACAAGGCGACTGACCTGAAAATGGACATGGCAGATTCCTCCATAACATTTTGTACCCATCTATCAGGCTAAACAGGTTATACAGAGTTACCTTCCAGAAGACTGTGATCTTCACAAAAATTGAATGTGTCAACATGTTCCATTAAAACCTTCTAAGTATCAAATTTCATGGAAATCTGTTTAACGGTTTTTGAATTATTACATGCAGAGAGACATGGAAATCCTAATAGATGCATTACTGCAACTTTTCATTACAAATGTGCCATATAATGCAGGACTAGCCAGTACAATGTCTCACAGAAACAAATGTAGAAGAAATAAAAATGTTTACAAATTTTCTTGAAAACATCTCAATACCTTTGAGACTTTGCAAGCAACTTAGGAAGTCTGCACAAGAGAGGTAACATTGTTAAGACTGTTAGCAAACAAACAGAAGGGCCTGGCAGACAGCATAAAGTTTGGCTGTACACACATTATTAAAGTTGTGGAACCAATATGAGAAAACATGGTCTTCATACAGAAAGCACATCAACCTGACCCTTGAACAAATGACACATCAGTGTAAACTGCAGTGTAGTCTGAATAAGACGTGAGCTTAGCAAACAGCCAGCAATACATAAAGGCAGACATTATGCTCTCACATGTCTGACAAGATCAAAGTCATAAGCTGGGCACATGAGAGACCAAGGTGGGTTATGAGGAAACCTACTGGGAATAATGTGCAGCAAGCATATGTACAGATGGTGAAGGTGGTAGTCAAAGCACACGCCCCCAGGCCAAGACACAACTGTATTCAACCCATCTGCTTCAGTGGGATCTTGCCATGTAACAACAGAGAAGCAGCTTCTTCTGCTGGGAGAGTGGAGGTTCTCCAGTTTCCTTGCATAGACTACTCCAGAGAGATGGTACAAACAGCACCAGTGGCAAGACATTTCTCTGTGCTACAGGCAAGGTCTAGGTTGGACAGTTTAGAGTTCATTGCAAAACCACAAGTGAAGCTCCCATAGTCCACTTTGAGCAGATCAGGACGTGGAAAAGTCAAAGCATCACTCTCAGAACAAATAGCATGTATTTGCTTACAGGTAAGCAGAACTTCTCTGCTGACAAGAAAACTGTGGGTTGAATTTTTAGCCAAGGCAAAAGACTTTGATCCAGATCTACTACACAGAATTCTCAACTGTTTTCAGTGACTAAGACATGCTTTTAACATTACCACATTAAATATACATAGTCTTAACAGCTAGCTACTTATTACAATGATTTCAGCCACAGACTTCTCAGCTACAGTTCAAGTTTGCAGCTAGGACTATGTATGTCCTGCTAACATGTAGTGTTTTAAATAACTGTTTCTCATATCACACAAACAGAAGCAGGAGGTTACTGCCAGAGCAAAACATACCTACAGATGCACTGCCACATGCCAGATTTGTCCTTCTGTATTGCCGAATCACCTAGATATTCCAGTATTGGTTGCAAGCTTGGTTCACTTGAATTCTGGACACTGGAGATACAAAACAGATATGTAAGTTTCTATCATACAAACTAATGATTACAACCTCCCAAATTTTCAATCCTGATTTCTCCCACAAATGTAACTTAAACTTCAGATTTATCACATACTCAGATATTACAAATTCTACAGCAACTATAAAAAAAATGAACATGAGATTGTGCCCTCAGACAAATTACTTTAAAAAGTAACAGTAATAAACTCTGTACCTTATAAACCTCTTTTTGACAAAGATTTTAATAATCACAGATAAACTCAAATCCTTGCAAGAGTCAATGAAATAACTTCTATAAACAAGTCTCACATAGTAAGTCACTAAATGTCTTTCTGTTACATGACTGGTTAAACTGTACACTTCACTTATTAGATTAGTGGAAAAACTGGACTATACATACACATGGTAAATATACACACTTCAATAAAGCTAAGTATATAAACATGACATCACATTTAATAAAATCAATAAATTAGTGTATCAGCTCAAAGATTTTTTACCTACTTTCCTAAAGTACGCTTATCCAATCTTCATCCTGTCTGTGTATCCCCCCTTATCAAATTTTGAATGCCTGAACCAATCTTTCTTAAACATGTATATCGCGGCAACTGCGCCTATCTCAATGGCATGCTTCATAAATAACTCCCATCAGTCTATATCTGCATATGTATCCCTCCTATAGGGGCAAAGCAATGACTCAGTTAGGTGCATCCTTTTTTTATTGCTAGTGAGGTGGGACTAAGTCCCTTGTACTGCGGCCACTTCTGGCCTATTGTACCATAGGTGCATTCTTACATTTGGTGCCAGGCAATGGCTTGGTAAACACATTCCTATGGAAACGAACAGATGCAACACTAGAAGAACTGTTGGATGCATCATCTTCTATGCAGTCTGCGCCTTATCAAAGAAGAATATGCAGGTCTCTGTATCCCCCTATCATTGCTAGGTAACAACTCGATAAAGATGTTCTCATGGCAACAAAGAATTGTTAGAGGTGTCATTCTCTGTGTGGTACATGTTGTATCAAAGGGAAGCAGGCAATTAGTTCTTCCCAGAACTTCTTGGATCAAGTGTATCTTTCAAATGTGGAGGACACAATAACAGAACAATGATTTGTTTTATTTTGTACGTGTTTTCTATTTCTGATTATGGTAAAAATTAATTTTTTCCCAGTGTCTCTCAATTTCCTTGTTATTTTCTACTCTGTAACGTTTATTTCTCACACACTCTTAATTACCATTATCCACTACTTACTATTATTATCATCATCACTGTCTAGTCACCACTGGCATTAACACATCGAGGACCGGTCACATGATATCATGCTTTTGGATTTTAAACGTAGTGGACCAGTCACATGATATCATGATTTTAGGACACGTTAGGTTGTAACACACTATACCTTGCTCTGGCGCCACCCAAGTTTCACGCAATGGCATAATAAAACTCTGGAATGTTTCCTTACTTGTCAGTAACTTGACCTCGCTGTTTTGTTAACCCACTATAAACGAAAATGCTTTGATGCTCTTCGAGCTGTATGTATCAGCCAGTAGTAAGTGGGGAGTATGTATCAAGGACAAATTCCTCTCCGATGAGCTAGCTGTCCTGCCTTATGGGACGCGTAGTCATAGTGATTCAGAGAGCGGCAGTGACAGGGGAGAACAAAGAATTGTGGCCACAGACAGTAAAAGTGACAGTAGCTCCAACGATAATGGGGGTAATAATATTGCGGGGACAGTAAAAAATCTAAACCTTGATTCTAAATTGAAATACAAAGCATTTCTGATGAATGTGGCAAAGGCCTGGGCTACAGACCAGACGGTGGTGGCAGAAGCAGGGTCAGACACAGACTTAGTGCGACCAGACCCATCAACTCCCACCCTACGCAGGCCTCATGTTGACCCCCCTGGGTGACTCTCGGGTGATATGTGGAAACATACCCTCGTGAAAATTGTGAAGAGTGAACATTTCAAGGGAAAGCATCCTTCTAGGCAATGCTGTGTTCGCACAGTTCACAAAAAAAGGAGTATGTCTACATTTGCAAGTTCTGTGTAATGCCACTTCATAAAGGGGAATGTTTCCAGAAATATTACATCCTCAAGCACTTCTAGGAGCATTGGTAAGTGTTCTCCAAAAATTTTAGTTCATAAAATTAATTAGGAGATTTTATATTAATTTTTAAAGTGAACAGTGCACAAGTTAGGATAGTAGGTTTAATAATGGTGGACCCAGGATGATTTAAACATTTAAATTGCCGGTCCTTAATGTGTTAATTGTAACTACCAGAGCAATGCTACACTATCCTTAAATTTTTAAATAATAATATCTCATTATACTGAACATATCTATATTTTTCAAAGAATCAATTAAAACAATCACTGTACATATGTAAATTTGTAAAATATTTACTGTACAGCACATACCACAAACATCAATCAAACCCTCTGAAACAGAGAATGAAAAACAGTACCAACAATAACAACAACAGTAATAATAATACCAATAACAGTGACAACAAGAAAACTGGACATTTTCAAAGATGAGAAAAGAAAAGTTTTCTACCTCACTGAGAAAAAATTTGCTGTTGTGTTATTCAGTCTCTTTTTTTTTCTCCATTTTCTTACAATTACCTTCCCAAGTTTGGTACTGTCAATGTAAGATTAATATGTGGATGTGCTCGAGTTACTACTTCATTACTAACGAACTATTCCAATTATGTTCTAAATATATTCAGATACTAACCGCAACATTTCAAGCCAGTACACAGACAGCAAGTAGGTGCACTGAGCAAATGACAGTTTGTTGACAAATGCAGTAACATCTGCTGGGTGCTCCAGAAGGTTCAAAATTTGTGTCTTTAATTCTTGTAGCTCATTCTAATGAAGGAAACAGAACAATTTCATAAACAATGGATTTTTTTTGATTATATGCAAAACCGTATTCTTTTGAATGATGAATAACATGCAAGCTTACCAATGAAACACTGTCATTTCTAACTGCTGATGTGTATTGTAATTCTCTCATTTCGGATCGAGATGATGTCTGTGACACCAAATGTGGAGACTTCACTGCAATATTTCTGACCCCATCATACCACTCTTCTGGCCACAGACCTAACAAAGAATTGTGGAAATGGTTTACCATTAATATAGTTCATGCCTCAGTTATATGCTATAAACAGACTCTCTTCTCCTGAACTGCTAAGCAAATTGGTGTAGAAGTAATGCACTAAAGCGGTACCTAACTGGAATATTGGTCAAGCTACTTATGGACAACCTTGCCATTTAAACAAATGCATGAACAGTACTTTAAATAAGCAACAACCACATCCTTCCAAATTCCTACCTAGGAAGGAAGGAAAGAAGGGAAGGACGTAGATATAAGAAAATACAAATCAACTGCTTTGACTGCAGTTTTTCATGCTCTACCCAGGTCCCTTTAGGCAAATCACATGACAGTATCCAAAATCAGGCCACAGCTCAGCATCATTACGAGTACATTAGCAAATAATAGATAAAGAGATAGATAAATAAACAAACAAACAAAAAATAAACATATAAAAAATAATATTTTATTAATTCTCAAAGTCCAGTGGCAATGTTTAGGAGGCTGATTCTGCTTCTGTTATCATGAAAAATGTGGGACCTAATCTTATGAGTCCATTGGAATGAGTAAATATCAATGACTGGACCATCAAATTAGGTCCCACATTTCCTAATGGCAGTAGCAGAACCAGCCTCTAATAAAACGTGTTATTATTACAAAACCTAGCCAGTGTACAGTATCAAAGACATATAAAGCAACTGTGATACATCTTCATCAAAAACATTCAGCAATGTGATACAGAGAATGTGGAGATAAAGATCTTCATAATCTTTATCTTAACATTCTATGGAGGTGATCACTCAACTTCACACATCTGCCTTAACTCCTGAGAAGACAGGGCCCAAATGACAGGGGGCTAGGTGGACACTGCAAATATCTCTGTCAGGAACTGAACAACTCAGATATCTATCTAGTTATGTACAAGAAAATCCATCACTATAGTAATCAAGCTACTGCTGGTCTAAGCTGGGGATATGAGAAGTAAACAAATTAGACAGGACACAAACAACATAACAAACCTGATGCATTTGCTCACTTCATTCAGTTACCTCATAAACCATAAGACTTATGGGAAAAGCGTGTACTGGGCATACAACATGCGCTTCATTCTTCATATAGTTTTTGTTCAAAATATATTGTTCCAATAAATATTCAGTTGTGTATGCTCAACTTACACTTGAGATGCACACAGATATGAAGTATAATAAAGTGTCCATTACTGTCACCTGATTTTAACCAAAATAAGTAGGTGCATTCTAGTAAAATTCCCCAACATCAAATTTCATGAAAATCCATTCCACAGTTCCTGAATTGGTTGTCCCTTTGGTGAGACAGATGCACAGACATGGCCAAGCTTATAGGCATATTTCCGTTCTTTTTCATTTCAAATTCACCAAAAGCTGTGAGCTGGTAGCCAAAGTGGCACATATAAACAACCTGAATCCAATTACACCATCAAACGAAATCTAATTCCATCTATATTCACCCCATAATTATCCCCCCCCCAAAAAAACCTCCTATCATGCTTCAAAACAAAGGCCAGACTTAAGCCTTCCATGGATCACGACAGAAAGATGATATACTAATTTTCACCTGAGTCAGCTGCCGTGAATCCCATTACTACACAGTACAGCCAGAAGTCTCGGAAAAGTTTGTGAAGGCGAGGCTTAGCATTTCGAATGGGAGGGAGACGACGCATCAATACAGCAATTACAGGAATAAGAACGCCAAGGTTACCAGCACTGCTTGAAGCCTGAAAAAGTAGAATTATGTAATGTCAATTAAATAAATATTTCACTATTCTTCATTAACAGCAGCATAAATTTTGGTCCTCTCATTTCCCTTATCACTAAAATATAAATCACAGAATTCTTTTTTCCTTTCCCAATTACTGTTTAAATAAAAGTAATTTCCCATTCCCGTTTCTATTCAAAGTCTCTAAAATCTCCAAAAGAAATTTAATTAACATCCTTAACTCCTTGAGGACTAGGATTTAAACTCCTAGATGCACTCCACAGTCTAAGTTTTTCAATATGTTCAATGCCATGATGCATTACCTTGATAAAAAGTTAATATTTCAGCTATTTTTGTTCAAAATTTATGAAACAAAAGGCAGACAAAAAAGCATCAATTACTCTCCCTACATACAAGGGTTGGATAAAAAGTAGTGGCAACATTGCTGTAACATGAAAGATGTGCATCAGGTGGCACTAGCGCTGTCTGTAGCTGATAGCAGGAGTTCAGTTGAAGTAGTGTAGTGAGTGGCTCTGGTCATGTTTCATTAAGTTGCATTGTGCATAATCTTGAAGTGCAGGAGCCAAATTCAAGCACCCTAAGAACATGTTTACGAAACAAGAACAACGCTCCTGGATAAAAATTGAAATTGCATGAGGTTGCAGTGCACAAAACTATTATCAGGGAATGCGAAAATCATGTGGGGATGCTGCTTTGCCATATTGCACAGTTGCACGATGGGTGAAATTGTTCCATGAAGGGAGGGATGCCATTCAGGACAGCCATCATTCAGGATGACCCCATGTTGAGAACCACACAATTCAGCTTCTTGCTTCTTTGCTGGATGTCAATCATCAAGGGGCTGCGCGGGAGTTAGCTGCTGAGGTAGGCGTATGTCACAAAACCGTGCTCCACATTATGCACGATATTCTTGGATACCGCAAAATTGCAGCACATTGGGTACCCCCTACAATGTCTGAGGTGGAACAATGGCAACGTTATGCAATTGCACAAGACTTGTTGGACCAGTACCAGAGGGAAGGTGGAGACTTCCTTGGAAGGATCGTCACTCTGGATGAAACTTTGGCTTGCTCATACAAACCGCACTTGAAGTGACAATCAAATGAATGGAAGCATCCTGGTTCTCTTCATCCAAAGAAAGTGCGCCCTACACAGAGTAATGTGAAGGCAATGTTCATTGCAGCATATGACACTGATGGAGTGATACTGCACCACACTGTACCTCAACGACAGACAGTAAACGCTACCTACTACTGCAATTTCCTGTGTAATCATCTTCGTCCAGCACTCAGGAGAAAGCAACGACACTTGTTGGCAACGAACCGCACCATCCTTCATCACAATGCAAGGGCTCATACTGCTGACGCTGTCAACGATCTCCTTCATCGCTGGCGATGGGAGATACTGCAACATCCGCCATACTCACCTGATATGAGTCCTTGCGATTATATCTTTGCCAAAATGAAAGAACCACTGCGAGGGTTGTTACAACACAAGAGAGATTATTCATGCTGTAGGGTGGTCACTGTTGGACATCAACAAACGTGGACGCACTGATGGTGTACGACGCCTTTCACAAATTTGGCAGAAGGTGGTACACATGGGGGGGGCGATTATATTGAAGGAATGTAAGTGTGTTTACCTCAGGCAATAATGTTATTTCAGAACTATAGAACTGTTGCCACTACTTTTTATCCAACCTATGTGTTGTGGCCCAAAGGCCGACTCCCGGTAATATGTTAACATAGTATTAACATTTTTGTATTTTTGGGAAAATATTTGTTAGGATAGATTTGGTTTTGGGAAATATTTGTAAGAGGTACGAAAGCGGATGTACGAAAGGTTAACAACTTAAAGGAATTTCTGCGTATGGATTTAGACGGACATTGGCTTGCCGCGAGGGAATGCCGAGTCAGCAGAATGACGTTGAATGTATATCGAACTGCTAACTACAGAATTTACACTTGCGTGATGGGGGGACGTTTGGAGGTAAAAATGTCAACCAAACGGTTTAGCAGTAGAAGGGGGTGTGTCCCCTTAGGATCCCAGCCAACGAGATCACCCACCTTGGGATAAGACGTCACTGGAGGCGGACTTACACCCTCCGGGAAAATAATGAGTAAGCATACATAGGGGTATATAACCCAGAGACCAAATTAGGAAGGGGATTATTCTAACAGTAATTTTGGCCATTTGCGGCCGTAGGCTCTGTCCAAATGGACACCGACTCGACTCCCGGCAACGCCATCCGTCTGCAGACTCAACGCAAAGTAAGTGGAAACTACTCTTATCGCCATGCGCAATAATTGTAATATTATTAAAGTGTAACTCCTCCAATGGGACTAGAGTTAGGAACGTTAGAAAAGGTGTACAGGGCGTAAGAATGATCAACCGAGTGATGCGAGGTAGCCAAGTGTAATGTGTAACCCGACACCAGTCGGCCCTTTCAGTGTGAGAATCCCAAATGTATATAACTGTATATTGATTGTGTTTTTACTAATATAGTGTAGCATAGGGTGAGGATGTGGGTTTTTGTGGTGATTTTCTCCCCTTCCACATTTCGCACCTGCGCCCTCCTGACAAGCCCGGTGAACAGAGAGCCCCTAGCCATGAAGCAACGATAGAGAACGCTATTCCGACGTTTCCTTAGTCCATACCCCTGTGACTGCAAGAGAGGAGGTGGCAGTGGGGATACCTCCACCCCCCCTGTCACCTCGACGTAACAGTGGTGGAAGCGGTGGGGATACCTTCACGCCCCACCCCACCACGACATTACAGTGGAGACAGCGGTGGGATTACCAATCCACCCCTGTCGTAAGGATTAAGGACATAACAGTGGTGGAAGCGGTGGGGATACCTTCACGCCCCACCCCACCACGACGTAACACTATGTATATTTTATCCCATTTCACACTTAAGTTATGCATTGTATAACTTATGAAATAATCACCTGCTATTTGTTTTGGATGCATATCAGTTTTTTCTTAAATAAGTCATGCTTTGGACCCACAGACTGAATAATATTACATAGAATATGAAAGGAATAACACACAAAGTGTGACAGCCTTTCCTGGAAGACTATAGGAAATGTTTTGTATCAGTGGACCTTATACCTACAGCTGCTTCAACACGAATGTTTATTGAGAGGGTTGAAGGTCACTTGCAAGTGCCTCCACTACCTATAACAGAAACTGACACCAGCATATCACTGAGGTTTCACAACACACTGAATGACTCAGTCACATGGCTGGTGAACAGTTATTCAAGCACAGATAGGTACAGTCAGTCCACTTTAGTACTCTTTCAGATATTCAAACTGCTCAGATTAGTCTCTTTTCAAAAATTTTCCTTTCTTTGGCATTGTTTGAAGCATGGAATCACCCCCCCCCCAATACAATGGTCACGCTTGTGTGACTGGCCTCTGCGTGTCTTGACCGCCTACTGTTGTGAATACACATTTCAGTGTTTTATGACCATAAAATGCGGACCCTTCTCACGTGAGAATTCTGCAAGGAATCTGACTGCTTGTATAATGTACTGGGAGTTATGGTACTTGTTTTGTACTGGTTCCTTCATAAATCAAAGAACAATTCCTGTGGGTACGGAATGGGGAAACAGGAAGGGTATGCCACCTCTGTCTCAAAAGCTTTAGGTAGGTAAGTACAGTCAGTGACCAATGATTCACTTATGGCCATGAAGTGGTGTGACAAGACGAGATGCAAGAATGCTTTCCGCCCTTCATTCACTGGAAAGTGTGAGTGGAAGATGAAACAACTTATTATGTAGCTGAAACAAACTGTTGTTTACAGCTGACAAATGGGTGTGATAGATTGGACTGAAATGCTGTTGAGCTATGTTCAGTACATTCGTAAGTTTGTGAACTGGTACAACAAATCAGTACTTCATATACTAAACACAGCACTGCTCAGTGCACCTGCACACTATCTAATGGAGAATGAAAAAGGTATGTCACTTCCTGATTTTCAAATAAGTGCCATCAGAGGGCTTCTGGAAAAAGCATAAAGAAAGAAGAATCTCATCTAGGGGTGTAAGGTGTTCATTCCTCTATGTCTGACAGTCCATCACTTCCCACATTATGTGACTAGCAGTGTTGGTCAAGAGAATGCAACGAGGAAGTGTCATATGTGTCCATTTTCCCACCATCAACCTGGCTGATTCCACATCCTGGAAGTTATTTATCTTATGAATGTTTTGTGTAACATCTTTACTTTGGTTAAAAATCTCCTATATTTCTGATTCCTGTAAGCTTCAGTTTTTTCTATGTACCTATAACAAATGACCATTATTGCTGATCTTTTACCTTAAGAGCTGCTGGAGCCTTCTCTGATGCTCGTTTTCCTTCCAAACCAAGCTGCACAAATAATTCCAACAACCTAACGAGAAGTTCGTGCATTTCAGCTTCACCCTGAAGGTTGGCAGCAATGTTGGCTAAGGCATTCACCACTGCTCCTGAAACATGTCTATAATCCAAAATCATACAAGTAAAGCCTCCATCTATGATATTGATTCAATCGCCAAATATAACCCTGCACAAAGGATAAAATATGGCATTCACCTGTACTGGCTTTTGCAATCATCTGTAGCTGACTGGCTATAAGCAGCATTGCTAGCTTCCACTGTGATTGTAGTGAACATTCGCATTATCTCCTCATACACTTGTGGCTGAAAGAAAGAAAGCAACACAACTATTTGCTGCCACTGCAAATATATACATACCAAAATAAACAATACCTACTAGGTAAGAAGTTCACAGAAAGTGCTTGTTCTTCCAGAAAAGAACATAATTATTGGAACTCTTGTATCTGAATTAAAAAAGTAACACTGAGGTCCATTCAAACTATTGTACAGAAATAAAAAAACAAATCAGCACTTCTACCTATTCTTGATTTACTTACCAGTACTTTCAACAGATCAGAATATATAACACTGAATGATATGATGTAGAATTTGAGGTTCTCACGGTGGTGGTTATGAAGCAAGTGGCTTTCCACCTGCTTTCACGCTGGTATTTAAGCTTGGTTTTTAGACTTTTTTTTTTCTGTGTTACTTATATTAGGTCTCTCTTGGTTCTTGGACCGACATATATCATAATTGTGATTTTCAGAAAGCAATTCTCCTGGGGAGCACCATTTAAAGACAATCATACTCCTACACTAAAATGTCCAAACTGTCTTTGGAATTTCAGACATAAAACTGGATAATTTATTCCTCTTAGTTATTAGCCATCTTACATACAACTTGCTTTTTAAAACCTTTAAAAGTTTTAAAGTTTAGAATTTTTAATGGTTTTAAAAAGTTGGTTGCATGTGAGACAGCTAATAACTAGCATGAATAAATAACCAATAAGCAATATGCATCAGGATGCTATAACATTATAAACTACATAAGCTATTTTCTGACGAAAATAAAAATACAACATGCCACAATCTATTGTGAATGTTTTGTTACCACGGGTACTGTAAAACATATGAAGGTTATGTACTCATTGACACCATGGTTCCAATGCTTTCCTTATGCAGGAAATAAAAGGAAAAAGAAACTGACTTGGACTCAAACACCCAAATTAACAATTTTCCTTCCCCTGGTTGTTTCATGATGGATATAATTTAGCTATACATTTTCTCTTTATGATTCGTCATTTTGGAAAAACAGGATGAGATGGAAAGGTGAAGAGACAGATTCTGGGGATTAAAGATATGTGGATTCTGTAAGACAACAAATATATTTCAAACAGAAATAAACTAGAACAATATTTACCTCGCACTTTGAAATAATCATACATCCCAACTGGTCTACAATCAAGATGTCCAGAGTGGATGGAACCCGGCAGAATATCTGCTGGAAGAACCGAAGGATCGTTTCTGTAGTTTTAGGTGTATCCTTCAGAGCAACTGCTACATGACCCAACATGATTACTATGTTGGTAGAAATTAGTGACGATTCGCTATCAAAATAAAAGATAATTTTTATTTAGAATGAAAACTACAGTTCTCTGCAATTATTTTCTTTCAATGTATATTTCAAACTACTCAACGATACTCCCATGGCTTTACAAACTTCCTCCTGAGTATTTTTCAGATAATCCTGTGACTTCACAAACTTCCTCCTAAATATTCATCACAACTTGATCTTCATCATTTTCCTCCCCCTTTCATGTATCTGTACACATTGTAGACAATTTGTTCACCCTGGTTATGTAATACTTTAGTTGTTCCTTCTTTCCTCATGCTCAAACTACTCTCTACGTTAGCCATAATCAAGAGAGGAACAATATTTTTCAGCAAACACATAATAATTGACACATCAACAAATGAAGACAAAGGCTGAGTAGCTGTCATTATGCCACTACTTGAGCTAATGCTTGGGCATGCCAAAAGCGGCATACCATGATTCTAGCTATATCAGACAAGTAATACCATAATGCTAAAATGTAGGCATGTAACATTTCCCATATTATTCAATTATATATTAAATAATGATGTATTAACCCTTACATGGTTCTGTCTATAAAACGTAACAATGTTTTTCATAAAAGATAAAGCAACTGTCTGTAGAAGAGTTATATCATGTAATAACATGGCACTTTCCCATCACAGATATATTCTATGTAAAATACATAAAAGATTACCTTCTTTCATAGAATTAATATTATACATTATGTTATTTTACACATGAAGTTATTAAACACCAAAATTTTACAAATAAAAACTTATTAAATACCAAAATTAATACTTCATAAATAAACCAAAATATTTCTCCTTAAAATATACCTGTACCTATAGAAACTAGTTCACAGTGGCAATGTAAAAAATTCTGTTGGAAAGCCACTGAGGGGTTAACAATGTAGTTCCGAGAAACTGATAAATCAACATTAATGGAAGAATCAGGCAGGATACATACATTACAGGAGGAGAACAGCCAGAGGGTTGGTGAATGGAGAGAACAGGGTGCAAGGACATGGAAAAAGTATATGACTTAGTTTAAGGTCTTTCATTCTGGTCCGTCACACTAAGGTGCTGACGAGGTGGAAAACTTAAAAAAGTGTCACATTTGACGGAAGGAACTTGATTGTTAATTGGTTAGTGTGACGGACCAGAATGAAAGACCTTAAACTTATTGAAGCTAGTCAAGCTAAACTGGTGAATCGATACGTTAATACGAAAAGGAAACTACTAACAACCAACGCTCACATATGGTTTAATCGGACCTGCCAGAACAAAAACATTACACCAAGGTATGCCAACCTAAAACTAAAAGGCTCTAATAACGCAACAAAATTAACTCAGAAACAACTAATAAAAATTAGAATAAATAATGAACTAAAATTTCTATATATTAAAAAACAAAATATCAATAATCAACTCTATAAATCACACCTAGAAAATGCCCAATACTGGCAAACCAGCTGGCCATTGATAGAAAACAACATAAATCAGAAACTAAACGAGGAATCAAAGAAACACTATGAAAAACTCAATAACAAAATCAATAAACTAAAAAGCCAATTAAACGAAAACATCCAACCAAAGAACAAACAAACATTCTACCCACGCCTACACAACATGACCAAAATACAATTCACCGAAAACGAAACTAACCTATTAAACAAAGGTACCAAATTTAATATAGGAATACCACCTAAAAACCACATAAAGCAACTAATCTACGAAACAGAAAACGCAATAAGGCAAATAACAGACAACACCCAACAAGAAGCCATAAGGTACCTAGCAACAAAAAACATACAACAAATATTAAAGAACAAAACAACAAATAAGGAATACAAACAACATATACACACAACCAAACAAATAAAACAAAAACTAATACAAAACAAAGCAACAATTGCCGAAGCAGATAAAGGAAAAACATTAGTGATCCTTTACAAAGACGACCTAAACAAAAGAGTTAAACATTTCATTGACAATAATAATATCATGGAAATAAACAAAGACCCCACACTAAAATTCCAAAAAGCCGTTCAAAACGCGCTAAAACAATGCAAAACAATAATAAACTCCACAACAAAGAAACAGGTTCAACAAATGAACCCAAAAGCACCCAACATGAATGCAAAAATTAAAATTCACAAACAAGAGGCCCCAATCAGGCCGGTAATAAACAATACCAACGCCCCCACACATAAATTGGCAAAATACATACACCAAACACTAAAAAATGTATTAAACCTAAAATACGAATATAATATCACCAATACAGCACACTTCGCAGAAAACATTAGTAATCTAAAACTAAACACAACTCACAAAATAATAACAATGGACATTAAAGACCTATATGTCAACATTCCAACAAATGAAACACTCAACATAGCCAAAAACCTACTCATACTAAACCACACAGAAAGAAACACTAAAAATGAAATCATACTTATACTTAAAACGATATTAGACCAGAATTATTTCCAATATAACGATAAATTCTACAAGCCAAGATCAGGCATAGCCATGGGTTCGCCTTTATCAGGCATAATGGCAGAAATCTTCCTACAACACTTCGAACAATGTAAAATAAAACACCTACTTGAAGACAAAAACATCGTCTACTACAATAGATACGTAGATGACATAATTATGATTTATAATCAAACTAAAATAACACCACAACACATACTCAAACAATTCAATGAACAAAACAAAAATTTACAATTCACACTAAATGAGGAAACAAATAAACAAATAACTTACCTAGACCTAAAACTTACTAATGATAACGGACGAATACACATGGAAATTTACAGAAAACCTACATCAACAGACATAACAATAAATAACACATCATGTCACCCCCAAGAACACAAATTAGCAGCATACAGGAGCTGGATACATAGACTACTTACCCTAAAGCTCGAAGATACAGCAAAAAACAAAGAATTAAACACCATTATCGAAATTGCACAAAACAATGGATACAGAAAAGATGAAATCACACGAATACACAAAAAACTAAAACAAAAAATAAACAATCCAAACACTAACGAGAAAAAAGAACAAAAATGGATCACATACACATACACGGGAAATTATATAAGGAAAATTACTAAATTATTTAGGAACACAAACATAAAGATAGCCTATAAAACCAACCACACACTAGGCAAACTAGTACACGAAAGGAAAAACATCGATCCATATGAGCAAAGCGGAATCTACAAACTGACCTGCCAAAGTTGTCAAAAGGTATACATTGGCCAAACGGGCAGAAAACTGTCAACCCGATACACTGAGCACATTCGCAACATAAGATTAAATAAGGACGAATCGGCCTTCGCCCAACATATATTAAACACAAGACACCAATATGGGCCGATAACCACAATCATGGAAATCCTCGAAACAGCTAAGAAGGGCAATCTAATGAATGTAAAGGAAGATTTCCAAATATATTATCATAACAAACACAAAAAATTAATAGAAGAACAAAGACAGATAAAAGAAACCAACAATCAAAAAAACCTCTTCGAACTCATAATACAGGATTCGTACACCCCCACACTGACGTCACAAACACAGGATACATAAACCACACGACACAGCACTCCTTAAGCACACAAGCATCACAACACACAGACAAGCAACATCAACTACCGACAGACAACACACGTCAACAACATCCCGAAGCAAAAAGATTGGGCCAAGCGGGAAAGAATTCTAGGGATTTTAAGAATTCTTACTTCAAATAACGAAACATAATTTTACAGAATTAACGACGAATCAAATAAGGAAGCTACTGTGGTGTGTGAAAAACTTTTAGTGAACCGACATTCTGGGTAATTTTAACTATTTGTAATTATTTTAATTAACTGGAACGTGGCTATCTTGGACAAAGTGAAGTTTTGTGTGTTGGTGATTTCTTTTTCTACTATAAATGCCTCTGATGATGGCTCCGTGGTGAGCCGAAACATGTAAGGCAGGTGCTGACGAGGTGGAAAACTTAAAAAAGTGTCACATTTGACGGAAGGAACTTGATTGTTATATGACTTAGTGTTTGAACAAAGAACCGAAATGTAAATATGTCAATAAAGTCTATGAACATTGGTAAAAAGAAAGACCCTCTGTACCTCCCAATTAACTTCATTACTTCACTTCCAGTTTTCATTTAAAGCAGCATGCATGATAGAGTGAAAACACACATGAAAATTTTCAATTACACCAAACTGTATAGCACAGTGAACTCCCATTGTCTGGCATATATGGGGAAGGTGGTCTGCTGTTACATAAGAAAAACTCTTACAGAAACCTAAGTCAAAGGAACACATTTTCTCCATAGTTCTTGCATGGAAGTCTTCCTAGGAAATATAGCTGATTAATATGTGAAAGAGTTCTGGAACATAATAGTGTAACAAGAGGGCCAAGGTCAAGAATGGCATAGTTATACCTCCACTCCCTCATACGTCTTCATGGCATAGTGTTTAACTAATTAACTTTTTGACTGGCGCGAAGGGTATTTAAATGCCATCCCTGTCCTGGCAGGTGCTAAAATGCATGCGTTTACTTTTTTTTAAATAACTTCAAAAATTGGTTTTTAAAAACGAAATTTTCAGGAACTAATAGACAATATTTTATGCAAAAAAATGTCTTTTCATACCTTTTTAGTAGTTTTTCTTCGTATGATAAACTTTGAAACATGAAAGTTTGCAGGGAGCCACACCACAGCTTGCACACAGGACACTTGTTTCTTTTCTAATCTTGTGCTTAGCACACACGCGACACTTTCTCATGGCACCAGTTTCTTTGTCCACTTTACAGTTTTGCGGGAACAAGGATAATAATGCAGCATTTGATCAGCCCTGTCAACCCCTCTCATATGTTTATTGTAGTCCCCAATTACCTCAGGTCTGCATATTTTTTCTCTTTTGTGATTCGTTTTTGCAGATTCCATGATTTTTGCTGTGTGAAGAGTGGAGATAAGTTTGACGTCTCTTATCTCTCCACACCTGTACGAGAACCTGCCCCTTCCTAGAAAACACAGATTTCCCTTTTTTCAAATTTTTTACATCATCCTTTAGTTCTTTAGGAGCTCCTCTGTCCATTCTGAAGGTACCACACACATAGGTATTTCTCTGTGTTAACATCTCACACAGTTCTACACTATTGTAATAGTTATCCTGGTAGAGATGATACCCTTTATCTAGAAGCTGTGGCCCCAACAGATCAACAACTAATTCCTTTATAGGTCTTGATTTTCCGCAATAAATTTCAAAATTCCAAATATATCCACTTGTTGATTCCCAAACAAGATAAGCCTTTATACCATACTTATCAGGTTTGTCAGGCATATATACTCGGAAGATAAGACGTCCTTTCCAAGCGACCATTCCTTCATCTATTGCAATTTCCTTTTCAGGGATATATGTGTTTCTAAATTTCCCCACTAATGAGTCTATAATTGGCCTAACTTTATACTGCCGATCTTCATAGTCAGCTGGTCGTGCACTGTCGTCTGCAAAATGGAGAAATTTCGAGATCTGTTGGAATGCCGCAAAGACATCTTTTGTCCATACCATGGAGTGTGAAATAGGGGCCTAGTAGACCAATATTCTTCAATTTTAGGGCATTTGTCGATTCCTGTCATGAACACAATTCCTAAGTATGTCCACATTTCATCTGGTGTGACATATTTGTAATTGTGTTCTCGAGAGTGAGGAGCTAACTCGTGTTGAAGTGCTGGTGAGCATAGCAATTGGTTTCAGTTGTGATGTGATTTATTAAGTTGTCATCCAGAAAAATTTTAATCCATGAAAAGGGGTGCATTTTATGTGTTATATCAATATTGATCCCGGTACTACTATTAAATGGAACTATTGTTGGTACAATGTCCCCGTACGTCCATCAGATGGGCACGTCAGGCACCGCACTCATGGTGGCTAAATGTTCATGATTACTGTCTTGTGGATCATTGTCTATCACTGTTTTATTGTCACTATCAACTTCATCTAATTCAGGAATCATTATTTCATCGTCACTTTCATCATCAGCACAAATCTCATTCATAACACTTTCCAGCTGCTCTGTAGGAACACTCTGACACTTGCTGCGAGAAGGCATGGTGAAACTGAATGAATGTGAAATATTTTCTGACCTTTTCCTTCTCGGAGGGTTCTGACAGTAATATAGACCCCCACAAAGTCAACAAGAGTTCTTTACAACCATGCACAAAAACTATCATAAATATGTCTTTGGTTGATGAGTGCCAAGACAGCAAAGAAGGGAAGAGTGTATCGAAGCGCTAAAACACGCCAATGCCAGCGAATGGCTGGCATCGTCCGGGCGCAAAAACACACCCGCGCCAGTCAAAGAGTTAAGCATAGGGACAACTTAACCTTTTTATACTGTAAAAAGATAACAAATTCAGCTATCCTCTACTGTGATAGCACCTGTGTGAGCAATGACAGGAAATGCTACTAGTGGTAGATGGGAGAACTATTACATGGTGGGTGAACACGCAGATTTCTTTTTTTGTAACTTCATCAAATGATAAATTTTCTTTCAAATTTTTTCCAGTTGGATGACAATTGGAGATGCCTGGATACCAGCAAACAAGGAGTTTACTGTATTTGTGTGCTTTTACGTCTAAGCACACACAGATATCTACAGAAGGTGTGGGCAAAGATTCTTTCTGGTATACATACTCACTGCAAAAGTGTGAAGGACTTCAAATTATGAACTGTTTAAACATACAATCAATTTCATTCATTTTGTTGCTCTTATCAACTATGGTTCTATAATAATACTGAATACATAATATCACACCACATGTTATAATTTAAGAAGCCATTAACTGATGGTGGCATGTGATAGTATGTTTAATTCAATGATTATGTGTAGCAAGGATCTAAGTCACACTCAAAATTACATTATAACATCAAAACTAAGCAGGTGAGCAGTTCTCATATTATATTACTGATTATTAGGTGTACAGAAATATTGTTTTTAATAAAGATCTTCAGTACATATTCTTCTCTTAACGTGAGAAATTAAAATAAAGAATTTTGGACTTTCACCTGTCAGATTTTTCTGCTGTAAATAGCCTCTTTGATACAGAGGCCACCAGCGCTGGCACACAGTATGGCTCCATGCTGTAGGCAGCCTGCAGTGCTGTGCATAAATTCTCTATAGCAGCATCACGCAGCTTCTCAAATGCCATCTGGCTGCTGTTTGTACTTGTATTTTCCATCTCCTTCCCTTGCACTAAAGAACAAATAAAAAAACATTAATATATTAACCCTTTTGCACGGTCATTTAAATTCCGCTGCCGTGTCTCTCCGGCGGTAATATATTCAGCCGTCCATTTAAATTTTGCTCGAAAATGATTTATTCATCATTGTTCTTAAATTATATGAGATAGGAACATGAAACTTTCACTAAAATGATCTTAAAAGGTGGTTTTATAACCTTGCCTTATAATATGAGCGCCCGGTATCTCGGCAATGGAAGCAGTTGGTTTAGAATTTGAGCAGTGTATCGTA